GAACGGTGAAGATTGAACGAGTTTTCTGTCCGGATTTCATTTTCGTTAACGAATTTTGTCCGTATTTTCTGACTGGTTCAGTTTTTACCGCATAACTTTTGGTATGTTATTGAAGTGCCGAGTGTGCACGTTTTGATTATTTTCTGGAGAATTTTGACCGGGTAGTTTTGATTCGGCAGTGTTTTCTTTCGACTGTAATTTCTGATGATTTCTGAATTTGTCTGGGCAGTAGAATAAAAGTCTTATAATGTTGTTGTGAATGTTTTGTGGTAATTTGGTGAAATTTTGATTTGGTGTATTTTTCTGTAAATTCCGTATACTGCCGTTATGACGCCGGATTTTCGTACAATTTCTGAATTAGTCCGGATTTGTTCTTAATTGAATTAATTATTCGTATGCTATTGGGAGCCATAAGGGGAAGGTGCTGTAAGAACAAGGGAGCTATAAGGGGAAGTTCTGAGAAATTCTGTTAAGTTCTGAAATTCTGTATATCTGTTCTGTTCTGGTGCTATGAGCACAATTGGGAGCTATAAGGGGAAGTTCTGGTGTTGTATGCACAAGGGAGCTATAAGGGGAAGTTCTGGTGTTGTATGCACAAGGGAGATATAAGGGGAAGTTCTGAAATCTGGAAGGAAGATCTGTTCTGAAATATTTGACTAATTTTATTTGATTCTGATACGATTCTGACATGATTCTATTCTGTTCTGATATGATTTGATTCTGATTTCCGTACGATTCTATCTGTTCTGATTTGATATATGATTCAGTTCTGATTTGAGATTTAATCTGCTCTGTTCTCTCTGTTCTGTTCTGATTTGATTCATTTTGTTCTGCTCTATCAGTTCCGTATTCTGATTTTTGTACGAATTTCTGTCTGTTGTGGTTAATGTAGACTCTAAGGATTTTGATTGGAGGTTTGTTGTCTTGCTGAGTTAGTGTAGCTCATCCTTGTTTTCTGTGTGGTTTTCAGGTTCTGGGAAAGGGAAGGAAGTCTTGGAGTAGAAGTTCAGAGTCTAATCCGTTATAGGTAATTTTGTACTTTTGATTTTTATACAGTCATGGCTTTTCTGTTCTGCTTTTCTTTCTATCTGAAAGCCATGAGCTGTATTTGTATATGATTCTTTTGAGGAAGAAAAAGATAGATGATCTGTTCCGCTGCATTTGATGTTTATAGTAGCTCTGTGTGCGTCTGTTTTTGTCTGTATGTTTGGAAGAAAGTTCTGAAAAAAATTTCAAAACCAGATCCTGGAATCAGTAAAGTCAGTTTTGAGCAGCAGATCACGACCCGATGCGAGCGGGAACCGTCCCGATCGGGTTGGGTTGTGACAAGCCTTTTTAGTGGTATCAGAGCAAAGGTTTTGGAATTTGGAATTTGGATTGTAAGACAGAGCTATAGGAAGTGATCTGAGTCTGTCTGGGGTAGTTTTGTTTTGTCTGGATTTTTATTGTGTTGTTTTTGTTATTAGTTTTCTGGATTTTCTGTATGCATCTACCAGACCCCGACATGAGAGACGGTCAGAGTGCCAGTCAGGCAGCACCAGTGGGTAGTATAACCCCAGTGGTTGATGCAGATACACTTTCCCAGTTTGCTACATTGGTTGCCCAGATGATGAGCGAGACACACAGTAGAGCCTCTACTGTTCGATCTGAGGATATTGATAGACATCTTCAGATATTTTTGAGATTGAAACCTCCGAAGTTTGAGGGCACTTTTGAGCTTAGAGCAGCTGAGGAGTGGCTGAGGAGGTTAGAGAAGACTTTTGACGGCATGCAGTGTCCGTCGGACAGGAAGGTACCTTTGGCAGTATTTCTGTTAGATGTGGAAGCAGAGCACTTGTGGGTAGGCCAGCAGGAGGCCATGTTTCAGAGCAGATTGAATTCTTTGATTTCTTGGGAAGCATTTTTTGAGGTATTTCGAGCTTGGTTTGTTCCCCAATCTGCCGTGCATCAGTTGCAGGAGAGTTTTCTAAGGCTGGTTCAGGGGAGCAAGACAGTGATGCAGTATGAGGCAGAGTTTACGGCCTTTGCCCGATATGCTCCACAGCTGATGAGTACTTCTGCTGAGAAGTGCTACCAATTTCTAAGGGGACTACAAGAAAGTCTGAGGCAGCCCCTGGCACCCTTTCACATTTTTGATTT